TGTTTGACTCACTTCCGGTTACTGTGAATGTTGGTTGCATCTTCTATCTTCTTCCCCTTTACTGTCGATAATGGTTCCCCTCCCTCGGTATATTGCTCGTCCACTTGGCAAACTCATGATATCCTATTGTGAGGCTGTTCACAAGTGTCAGCTATTTTAACATCCTGGTTAATGTTCCACAATATTTTTTGCCTTTTGTTCTATCAAAGTGTATGCCACAAATGTTCTTGGTTTTTCTGAGAGCCTGCTCTGATCGTTTTGTTGCACGTTGGTAGCGAATTTGTTCATTCCAGGCTCTTATCGTGCTCACGGCTACAGTGAAAGCGCACCGTTATGTCACATCGCAAGAGCTGATCCACTGCTCATCAACTTGTGACCCACATTTCAGATGAGCGCCATTCGCACTTCATCGAAAGTTGTTTGCAAGGGACATAAACTCCAGCACGAATCTTCCATTTCCGCGGACAGGATGCTATGTAATCGCACGTCTCCAATATTTGCTGTCTAGTTTAGGCCACGTGCTTTGTTGCGATCTTCCACATTATATTCAGACAGGACAGTCTTTTCTGGCCAACTTTGGTTGGGTGTTACACCGATCACATCTTACAAATGTCCAGTGGACAGCCGACGTCCAGTCTGCATGTGTGGAGTAGGGCTGAATCAATTCACAAGGTTGGGTTGCATGGCTCATGAGACGATTTCCATTTTGCTCGATGCGCCGCGAATTTTGGGCTGGAACCTTGATCACACGGTATTGTGGCTCTGTATTTATTGTTGGATTGTTAACCAGTGTTCATTATTGTGTTTTGGAGCACTCAATGAGTGTGTTTGGTTTGCGACATGCAAATTCGATTGTGGCTGCAGTTTGATTTGAAGCAAACCTCTGCAATTTCGCTCACTGGGACTGCATCCCAAGTGGGGTGTTTCGGTGTGGCTCTCTCCCAGCAACACCGCGCTCCACAACCGATCGGTTTCGTCCTGATTTGTACTCGTCAGGTAGAGATAGCTTGAGCTGAGAGCGGTGCCAAACACAGTGCTTGACAGCTTTCGTCTTGGGAGTGGAACTCGGCCCATAGCGCTTGGCGACTGTTGCCATGATCCGTAAGCCATTGCACTCTCCGAGCAGCCTCTGCCAGTACGGTCACTGGGACCGTCACCGAAGTGAACGGCCTCGATGTGGCTCTCTTCCATCCCCGCACTCCGCGACTGATAGTTTCGTCCTGATTTGGACTCATGAAGTAGAGATAGCCGAGCTGCGAGTGGAACTCAACACATAGTGCTTGGAGGTTATCGCCATGATCACTAGGCCATTGAGCTCCGCGTGCAGTGCTTGACACAACGGTTAGAAGTTGCTTTTCGGATTTTGGAGCACCTGCCGTGTGTCTTGGATTGCGACATGCAATCTTAATTGTGGCCTCGGTTGACTTTGAAGTCAGTCTTCTCCAGTACGGTCGCTGGGACCGCCACCATATTGAAAAGGGTTTCGGTGTTGCTCTCACCCATATATATATATATATATATATATATATATATATGTATATATATATATATATATATATATATATATATTCAGCGCTTGAGCAATAGATACTTGGTAAAGTTCAACAATACATGGGCAATAGCAAAACGGAGAAGAGGCAGTCAGGGGATGGGTTATGTACCTTCATGTGTAGCGTGAGCAGAAAACTTCCCGATTGCCCTGGCCGGGCAAGAGCGTTGTCTTAGGGCAGTGGTCCCCAACCTTTTTATCGCCGCGGACCGGTCTAGTTTTGCTACTTTTACCGCGGCCCGCTGATGGTTAGTGGCGCTGATTGTTTACCTTTTAGATAGTTTGAATATGATTTTAATTTTCTTGTGTTTAAACATGCCTTAAAACTAAGATACAGTTACAATAAAAATGAAGGCGTGATTTAACTTGTTAACTCACTAGAACGCTAAATCATTGAGAGCCCTGAGCTTGTTTCTCTACATCGAGACTGTTCCATCTGAGGGTACTAGGAGACAGTGACACTCGAAGTGTATTGCATATGTCCAGTTTATTCCGTTGTTTTGTTTTGCTTGCTATCACTGCAGTACAACCCCGCTTCACACAGATAGGATGTCGTAAATGTCAATGGGGATTTAAATGCTTTGGTGGCAATCTGAGGGTTATTCGCCATGACTTTAATCCAGAACACCGGCAGAGTTGTTGTCTCGAACGTAGTTTTAAGGCCGCCGTCATTTGCAATCTCCAGCAGTTGATCTTCTTCTTGCACAGACATGCTAGATTCGCCTGGTTTGTTGACAAATGGGTCGCGGATCCATTCCTTACCAGTTCGTGGGTCTTTTGTGGTTAGGAAGTAGCGCTCGAACTCTTTTAAAAGCAAAGACAAGTGATCGTGCACTAACTGAGAGAATGAATGCTCAGGGTCAGTCTCGCCTAAAATCTGCACTAATGTTTGAAACATGTCCAAAATGCCTCTGTTCACGCGCCGTCCCCACAACTCCAGTTTGGCTTTAAATGCAGCTACTTTGTCTGCCAACTTGAAAACAGTTGTCATTTTCCCCTGAAGGGATAGATTGAGTTCATTGAGCAGGCTGAATATGTCACACAGGTAAGCCAGTTTTGCAACCCATACCTTGTCACTGAAATGTGCTGTCAGCGGTGACTTCCTTTCTGAGGGAAATTTTTTCAGTGGCTTTCGCAATTCAACTACTCTGATTATCAGTTTTTTCTCTGGATAACCATCTTATTTCTTTGTACAAGGGAAGGCATCTGTGGTCTGCATCTCCTCACAAAGCTGCTCAAACAAGCGCGAGTTAAACACGTGTGCTTTGATGAGGTTAATAACCCAGTTAAATTCCTGTGGCATTTCTCAGCTTGCCGGCATTTCCGTATAAATGATACAATGCATAGATTCACTTTCAGGTGCAACCTGAATGCGAGCAGTTAAACCAGCCTGTCCTCCGGTCATGGCAGCAGCTCCGTCTGTGCATATATCGACACAAAAAGACCATTTTCGTTGTCCTGATGTATAAGCATCTGATGCCTTGAACAGTTCTGCCCCTCGTGTGGTGTTGGTTGGCAAAGATAGCGCACACAACAAATCCTCATGCACATTCTCCTGATAAAGACATCGCACTTAAACAAGTAGCATTGCCTTGTTGTCGATATCTATAGATTCATCATTCTGGAGTGCGTATCACGGTTACGTAATAATCTTCCCCAACAATTGTGTCTCAATGTCTTCGGCTATTTCCTCAATTCTCCTAGTCACAGTGTTAGCCGACAAAGGCACATGTGCTATCTTTTAACAGCAGCCTCTCCTAGAAGTTCACGGCAAATGTCTTTAGTGGAGGGCAAGATCAATTCTTCACTGATAGTGAATGGCTTTTTAGCATTAGCAATACGGTTAGCCACCAAATATGATGCTCTCAGTGCATTCTCCTTTATTGATGTGGTGACCCTCAGAAATTTCTTCTGTCCTTCGTGTTCCCGTCTTTTTCTTTCAAAATACTCCAGGGGCTTGTCTTTTAATCCAGGGTGCTTGGCGTTCAAGTGGCGAAGCAGTTTTGAAGGTTTCATTGCCTCATTAGAGAGCCGGTCGCCGCAAACTATGCAGAGCGGGGTTGGTGTGTGGGAATCACCTGTCCCGATAAATCCATATTTCAAGTAGGACTCATGGTATTGTCTGGTAAAAGTTTTATGATTCTTTGCTGTTGAAGCCTCTTCTTCTGTTTCTTCACTGGGCCTTTTCTTTTTCCAATGGAAACTTCCTAATGACATTTGTTTCATACACATTTTTGCTAAATTTTTGGTTAAATTTGAGCTCTCAAGTGACCGAGATGTAACCTGAAAAATAAGACATCGTTAAACTCAGCTAGTAACTGTGGACAAAAAAGGGCAAACATAAAACAATCTACACGTACACCAAGCACTGTTAAACATGAGAAAGTATCGGTGAACAGAGAGAAGTGCGATGTACACCTCCTCAAAACTACAACGTCACTGCCAGCTCGCAGCTGCTCAGCTCCCGGTTAATCTCTCATCCATGGAAAGTAGCACAATCGCGAGAGAAATACCTCATAGTAAATAAACTGGAAATAATTTAATGTTTCTTGGGCAGGCCGGTACAGGTCCGCTGCCCGGGGGTTGGGGACCACTGCCTTAGAGAACCCCACCAGGAGCCTTGGGCCATAAAGAACTAACCTGCAGGGCAGCGGAGCGATGAACGTCTGATCCTTGGAACGTTTAAGCAGCCGCGGAATACGAAGATCGTTGACAGCCAAATGGCTTATACGCCTTCCTAGTGTTCGGTAGCGCTGCACACAGAAGCAAGTGGCTAAAAATGTTATGCAGTCGCCCTCCATTAGGTCCTCACTTCTGGTCGCAGAAGTGAGTGGTCAGTGACCCTATACTCGGTCGAATTGGCTCTAACTCATCGCTGTACGTGTTCTTGTGATAGTTGGTGGTGTACAGTTTCCAGCGCAGAACTCCCCACGCTCTCAAACTGCCGCTGATTGTCCGCCACGCCTTATTCATCTCGCCTACAAAGCAAACGGGATTTATTCGCAGTTGCCATCACAAGGAAGGCCTTTCCCAATAATCAATCTAGGGACGCGCGCGATAGCCTACAGCTATGCTACGAGTCCGGATTGTGCTTGTGTGTCTCAGTCCATCCACGCAACGAGTGTTTCATATGAGCTCATGATCTGAACGTAATTCACTCGGACGCAACACCAGACGGTCAGTTAAGTAAGGGCATTGATTATAAAACGCCGTGTCTAGTTAGCTGTTTATTCTTAGTGCTGAGTTATCATTATACCATTGTTTTCCGTTTTGCGCTTCATTCTTTGGACCCCGTTAAATTTCCCTACTTTCTTTCATCCCCTTGTTGTAACTCACTTGAAAACACGTGCGCGCATACCTTACTTCATATTATTTCTGAGAAGAATTTACCGGTTCAACTCCTCATCCACTCGAACGTCATCGCTCGCTTCTGCATTCTCTTCCATTTCAGTTGTACACACATGTTCAACGACTTCAAATGCTCGCGGTTTCCGCCAATGCCCAAGTTACGCCATCGGAAGTGCTTCGTGAGGCCGAGGCTTGTCTCTTCATGATGACCACGGTGGCAAAACGTCTTTCTCCCCACGACCCCGAGGGAAACATATCCGCACTGATCTCGGGACTCGTCTTGCCTGGTTTGGCTGGGGCTTGCCCATTTCCGCTGCAAGAGGTCGGCTGCATGCTCTACATGGAGCTGTCACATTGGGTGGCTTGTCATCCACAGTATCGGCGTCAGATTGTCACCCAGCTGATCGAAATCGTGGAGAAAGCGGCCGGTCTAGAAGCACACCAGCTACAGGTAATGCTTGCGACTCGTTTCTTCCCAACCTACTCTCGGTTGACTTCACTGAGATGCAGTCGCTGCGATCTTCGTTTGTCCTCCCTTAGCAAACCACTGCCTGACACTACTCCCCCCGTTGGCCATGTATTGCGTGTGTTTTGCTCAGTGCTCCGACGTGCGCTGGTGGGCACTAGTCATGCACGCACGTCCTATTGCGATAACTTGTTATCCCACTTTAAGAGCCCTTGGCTATCCGATCCACCCATATGTTCATCATCGACATTGTCGTGTCGTCTGCTCAGTATGCCTTTTTGACTACTCATGACTAGTGTATTTTTGATGTGATTTTATTGGGTGTTTGTCGTAGCAGCTCCCGAATCCGTTAATCTTTCATATTAGAAAGGCACTAGACGCTTGTTACCTTTTATTGGTGCACATCCCCCGGCTCAATCAGGAACTGAACCCATAACCTCCCGACACTAAGACTTACACTGCCAGCCAGCAGGTTATGCCACAAAGCTACGGGTGAAGGTGGCGGACGTCCATGACTAAAGTGCAACTCGTCCTCCATTACCAAGTAAGTCGCGAAGGAGGAGTGTTCTGACCCCGAGGGTTACATGCTTCTACTAACAGCAGCTGTATGCGACAACATTTAGGAGCTTTCTGGGCGAATATTTGTACAAACATTACAGATAAAAAGGTTAGCTTTTAAAATCACTACTTCTCACAACAGTAACTAGGTAGGACCCGAGAGGTGCGCACTACTGACGGCTCCCAACGTGACGAAATGGTTGTCTCTTGCCTCCAGACGTTTGGAACACTATCTGACTTGGAAGCTGCTCTGATGAACCCATTGAAATTCTTGTCTCTGTTTTATTCCACCTTATTGGTACGCTCCGTACCATCTTCTCGCGTCTCGACTTTTGTCTAGAACACCACGTATGTCAACACACCCTGCGGCAGTCGTAAGTGTATTTTTGGTCCGCATTTGACAACATTCTATCACACGATGCTCTGTTTTTGTTTTGAGTACATGCAACTAGAAGGCTATATTTTATCAAGCGAGTTTTTAACTTAAACAATTTAATCCATATTGTAGTCAAATTTATCGTCCGTCGGTAAATATATAAATTTATTTATTTATTTATTTAGTACAATCAAGACAGCCAGTAGCGCTTTCAATCCCTTACAGTTATTGTTCACTAAATGACTGATTTCCGCTTGTCCTCGTAAGAAAGTAGAGTGGAGTAGCCATACGGAATTTTGGTGAAGGCACATTGGACATTTTCCAAGGCTTCCAAGTCACATTTACCTAACACCATAGTATTCTAACAGGGGTTTTATGTTGATTTTACAAACTATTCAGGAAGCAGCTAGATACTTCCGTTTAAATCTGCCGATGATGTAATTGCTTTCCTTGTCTAACTAAGCGTTTTTCTCAATATGTTTGTGTATTTCGTGACATAATGTGTTCCACAGATTGCCCCACCTACCAATTACGTTTGCTGTCTTGCAGTGAGCGTCATTTTAATGACGTTTGAAATCCCATGATCCCCTTCCCACCTGCTTTCCATTGTCACCCCTGAGGCTTGTCTAGCTTGCTTACCGCACAACTTTCAGCAACGATCATAATCTTCTTATAGGTCTGTAAGCAGCAGCTACTCGTCGCTTGAGACCATCTCTTGTCAGATCATCGATCACTTGTGGCACCTACTCGTCAATGTTCACTGATGTCTGGAAGGACATTCTGGAGTGCACTGAAGCATCCATTCCCCATGTTGTATTATTGACAGCAGGTTCAGGGCATCCGCTACAATCACTATATTCTTCCATTGCACATCTAGTCCAAGTGTGGGATCGACCCGACTTTGAATTCCTGCAGAGTTATGACAGAATCGACCAATAGGATAAGCCATGTTGACTCATATCTCCTTCCATATAATACCCGTAGTGATATTGGCGAATCCTAATACTTTCAATCATAATCTCTGCTATTAGTGCCTTTTTCGGCTTATTCTCTTCTCTTTATTAAATATGTCCAAGAACACTTTTCTTCTTCATTTTTCATCTCCCCGGTTTTAATCGGTCGCTCTTTTCACGGAACGCTTTGTTGCTTGCATTGACGGAAATGGGATGTTCCTGCTCCGTTGTTCGAACACACATCTTATGGTCGTTGTTCTATCGATGTGCGATTGTTGTACTCTCTCGCCTTCAAACACCCGAGGTCTTTTCTCTCGCATCTTACAAACGGATCTATTGTGCCACTTTTACGCTAAAACTGCTTATTCGTCTGATGATTCCGCACTCATTTTAAACTTATCCCACTGACACCCCATTATAGCCCGGTCAAAAACTCGCCGTTGGTGCTGCGCTCTCAGCACTGGGCTCCCTTTGCTCTGTGTACCGAGCCACTCCGTCCCCCGGTCTGAATGGAATGTCCGCAAGCTGGGAGTCCACCAGAACCGCACTGTTGGACGAACACTGGCAAGCCCTAGTTGAGCGTGTAGCATACAACTTGCCTCGGCTATCCTGGGTACCGGACTATGACGCCACTCACTTCTTCACGGGTATCGGACGTGGCCTACTCTCTTCCATTGGATCTGGTGGCGGCGGCGTTGAATTTGACCCGGCCCCTGCCAGGCAGGCGCTACCCTCTCGCCTGGCTCAGATATGCAGTGTGTGTCTGGAGTGCTTAACAAGAGTGAGTTGTCTTTGTAGTTGTCTGCTTTTTCATCTGCTAGGGTGCTTATCACTGCGGTTCGCTGTCAGTTTGCTTCTTCGCCGACCTGTCTGGTTTCAGAAGTTAATGCTTGATTTTTCTTGTATACCAGTTGCCAAGTTCTTTGATATTCATTATTACCTTCCTCTCTCTCTTCGGATAATTGCATTAGATGATATGACGAAACTACTTACTCGGTTACCAATCAATTTCTTGTGCAGCTTCACTAATCGGTCTTGATGTGGCGACGGGTTTTTGTCCATACTCGATGAATTCGTTATTCGTATGGAAGTGAGACGTTACCACCTGTCTTCTGATGTCCCATCCCGTACTCGTAACTGTCCCTGAAGTTATGTCATTTGCAACCCGTCCGGTTGATGATTAGGGCATTCTACCCATACTCATATTATGAACACCAATTAACAACATGATGCAGCGACTGACTGAGTCACGTACTCGGTTGGCTGACTGACACTCCGCTTTATTGATCGCTGTCGCTACCCCATTTTCAGTTGGAGCTGACATCTAACTTTGTCATCTTGACAATGGATTGCACATCCGTTTGTTGCACAAGCATCCCCACCACTCTAGGAGATGATATATGTGGTCTGTGTGGACTTGACGTACTCTGAGACCAAATTCTGCCGAAAATCAGTATTTACTCCCAAAATAGCCACTCTTTGTGTATTTATCTGGTTAATTACTGCCCCTCTGCTCTCTGTTCTCTTTTCACTGACAAGTCACAGAACGGGATACATCCATTGTAGTTATGATTCTAAGATTGGCTTACTATTCGTACCACATTTTCAATGCCATTTCTCCTCGTTAATCTGTGTGCGCTCTGGAGAATACAGGCGTCTTCAGCCGTTCTTCTGTCACCGTGCAGGCAGTAACATTATGTTTTTACGGGTCTGTCACCAGACATACACGCACTGTCAACCAGTCAATCTCCGACTTCAAGCTTAACTTTTTATGCCTCAGCCACCAAACCTTACACAGCTACAACTTGGCTACCACTCTGTGCTTCTAGTGAAACTATGTATCGTTGCTTTCTATTTAGCCAGGTTAGCATGTGCGCTGTATTACTGGAAGCCTAACAACTTGCTTTTCTACATCTTTGGTTACTCTCTTCGTCATTACATTCTCTCCTAGTTTGGATCAGAGCGTTTGTTGAACCTATCTCACGTTGCAATCCTTTATCCAGCCGTGCGCAGTCGTCCTAGGTGCCGCCGCCTTCTTGCCACCTGACGGTCCGATTTTCCCTATTTCTCCACCGCGTTATTCTAATTAAGTGCATGGGCTGTGGCGCGCTAGTTTTTGTGGTTTCCTAAAAACCGGCTTTCCATCCTCAAAACCGCTCATAACCCTCATCAAATCGTCGGAGTCGCTACACTATTGAGGAAGTTCCACTTAATTCTGGGAACCCCAATTTTCTTTGTAACCACGCAGTTCGTTTTCCATGGAATTCCTATTTACTGTTATATTTTCCCAATTTCGTTCTGTTTTCTCCATACCAAGTTAATGGATGGAAACGTTGCCATCACCAGTGCGGACACACTTACCGACCCTCGTGTCTGGTTGGACTACCTGGCCGCCATCTTCCGCACATTCGCTTGTCTGCTGCGCCGCTTGGACGACGGGCCCAAACCTCAGTGGGGAGGTAGCGGGTCTGGTTCCGGTGTCACTGAATTTGGCAGTCTCGCTTTGTCTGCTCAGAACTGCCTATCCGATTGTTTGCGGCTGGTTCGTGAGACCATCTGGCCCGTCATAGCCAGGGTTTTTGTGCATTACGCTTCCCGAGGACTTCCAATGGAACATGCATGTCGTTTGGTGCGATTCATTGTGCGTTGCTTCTCGGTCCACATGCGCGACTTGCTTCCGGATATTGCGGAAAAGGTAGCTCGCTTTTTAGGATTTTCTCATATGCTGCTTCACCAACTCCTCCTGAGTATCACCGGTGACTGGTTATGTGTGCCCTTTCGACCCTGGCATACCCAGTTGTCTCGGACAACTTACGATCACCGGGGATGCTTCTCGTTTTTCCGTTGCTATTCGACATCGCTTTAAAGAGAGGTTGCCACCGTGTGACACTGGTTCCTCTCCTTGACTCGACAGTTGGAAATGAAATCACTGGCGTCCAAACTGGACTCTGTTGGTTAGTCTTGGTTTCCAAATTGGGATTACGCGACTCCCTGTGCGTATGGTTCGCAACAGTGGCACACATAGGATCACTTCCTAGTCGGGCAACTTGTTAGGAATTTTCATGACGCTGAACTGTTTGTGGAGTTGGATTGCTTGTTACGCAAGCAGTGAAGGATTCAGTGATGTTATCACACTGATTCCGCCTTATGTTTGCATTATACTCAGCTACCTGTGATCACGGGGCGTTGGCATTTTTGTTTATCCCATTGTAATTTCACACTTAACCTCTCCTCGGTCATCATAGCCTTATAACACTAAAGCACCAATGTGAAGCACTGCTGGTAATGTTGATACTGGCTACCTTAATTTTTTCTATTGAATTTCGGAGAGTGCTTGTTTCAATTGTCACCTTGGTTTTCAGTCTATTCATGTAGTTTACCCGCCTAGAGGTGTAGACGATTCATCGGGGTAATCTTACGCTTAATTTCTACCTTTCTAAGACAAAGTCGCGTATTTTGCTTTCTCTTTGGAGCGCGCGCCGTGCTTTCATTCACTAAAAGATTGAGGACGGAGCTAGTACATTGACCAGTTTCTGTGTAAAAAAAACCTTTTCCCATTCATGAAGCTGCATCCAAAGGTACTACATTGTAAACATTAACCACAATCGTCTTGCAGTGTCCCCTAGCTTGGTCTTCTGTGGATCTGATCAGTTCACTATCGATTCATGATGTTCCATTCGAATAGTATCGTGCAATCCGACCATCGCAATACGGCAGATCCGATTCGTGCAGCTGTCGATATAAAAATCAGCTATAGTGGCAATGGAAAATGTGGACTGGCCTAATCGAAATCGGGTTAAGTTCTACACTGATCCATCGGTTACGATGGATCGACGCTTTTATGTAGTCATCTGGGCTAAAGGCAAGCATGTTGCTCACTACGCGATTTTGCGTCCCTCACCGAAGTGGTTTCATTGCAATGAGTAGGTAAGTGTGGATTGCACTTCTGAACGCATGCACCAGTCGTCAACACTCCTTGCGTTCTGTGTTCTACCAAGCCACTGCACCCTGTGTGTTTGAGTCAGAGTTTTTTCGGACACGCTATGCTGTCTGATTGAGGTGGTTTTGTCTTTTACTTTCTAGTTATCTGTGCTTCTGTTCGTATTTCACTGGTCATCAGGGAAATGGATGGGACGTAGTCGCATCAGTTATTTTCCTTCAGCGAATGTGCTGTACTCTGTATTTGGCTCCGGATTTCATTTTGCACCCCGACAGGCGCAAGATCATCTCATTCATACTCTATCTTTTTGTACATCAGATCGTGCTGGCTTACACAACCGGCGGCCAGCACTCTAGTTTCCTCTATCTCGCCAGCGTACTTGTCGATGAGTTCGGGGAAATGGCCGATTGTCGCGTGGGACTCGTTCGCGTATTCGAAGTACGTCAATTCACAGTGAACACTTTTTGAGCTCTATTGGTTGTTGTGTTTACAAATTGGTTTTGTGCGCTCTCTGCGGTGGTACTTGTTTGACTTAAGACCTGCAACATGGACAAGTTTCATCTTTGTCGGTTCCTCAGTCAATTCCACACCCTCCGATTTATGTTAACAATGGTTTTTCCTGCTTTTTAATTTGTAATCCAACTGGTTATCATCATCATATCACACAATGATTTGTCACTACGTAACTATTGACTTCATGTACATTAGGAGCTGAACGCGTTGGTTTGCCTGTTCTGCGCGCGGGGGCAGATTTACTTTCGTCTAGGCCTCGGATGCATCAACCAAGTTCCGACGCTCCCTCAACTTCTCGTACGCTCTTATGCCTATTTATGAACAACATTCGAGCCGATTTCGACTCAGTAGATAGATTGTGGAACAGTATGGTAAAGAACGTTGTACCCGATAAGTTTGTCATTATCCTCAAAGAATTGTATCGTCCTACATCGTGCAAAGTTATGGCACATTGCTCTCCTGTTCTTTTAACCTTGATAGGAGTGTATGTTAAGGTTGGCGTACTTCACCGTTCTCATTAAATCTTGCCATTGAAAATGTTTTCCACCAAGCACTGGGAAGTACGCAAAATTACAACGCTGCGCTTCTCCCTGATGGAAACCGTGGACTTTGGTAATACCGTCCAAAACATTTAAAACGTTTAGCGTTAGTGGTATCTAAATACGGTCCATATTTGCCCCATGCAAGTGCTTCAGGATTAACAGGGGCCTATGTCTGCGTTCGCTGTGACAGATGATAGTCTGGGATAAATTGCTAGCTTCGTTTATCTGGGTAGCTATATCACAGTTGACGGTCGTGGTGGTGATGGTGGTGGAGATTAAATCTCACATCCAATTGCTTCCACATTCATTAACCTGAGACACTTTGGCGATCTCATTCTCAAGCTCAAAGCCAAGTGTACAATTCCATTAATCGCGCGACCCTGTATGAGACGAGTCCCGTTCGTTCGAAGGATTTGAGACGACTGCTAGCTTTCCATGAGCACCGCTTGCGAATGTTGTGGCGTCTATGTTGGTGGCGCGCCATGTAGGCATTGCGGAACTTCCAAGTGGAGTACAGTGAAAGAGCGGTCCCTGTCTCTAACACCGCTTTGCATTAACTCGAACGCGTACTTCATGTGCCCGCCCATCGGCTTTCTTGGTTGTGACTGTGTAGAGATTGTCGCAGCGGCCAACCAATAACATATAAAAGAAATATTAAAAACCATTGCAGGAATCTTTTTGAATACAACAATTGTTACCTCCTCATCTTGATCTCTGCGTCTTCCGCGTTAGGGACCAAGTGACGCGGACCCCTCAGTGGTTAGTACTTTTGTATGTGATGGCTCGCAATAGCAACTGATGTTCACTTTTAAGTAAGAGAGCAGGAACTTTAAAACTGTAAGAACCTCATTTATTTTCTGGGTTTGGAGCACCCGCCATATGTTGTACATTGCGACGCACAGTCTCAATTGTGACCCCGATTGACTTTGAAGTCATCCTCTGTCAATACGGTCATCACACTTCGCTGACGAATACGATTTAATCACCTCTGTTTACTTGTACTCAGAGTAGCAACTATATAAGTAACCTTGCTACTTGCTTCCCTGATTCTGTTACACTACATATTGTATTTCTTATAGATCCTCTGTTTTCCTTTTAAGGAAATTCCTCAAGTCACTCATCGTTTTATTAGTCTCATCACATGTCTGTAGCATTCGTTTCTGGATCACTTTCTAATTCTGACTGCTGTCTTTTCTACGTCCGCGCTACTTAGGCTCTTGGCGGGCCTACTTTGAAGATGTTGGAGGGTCCAAACTTAGTTCAGCAACCCCATACGGTTGAAGATTTGTACAGACTTTGCACCCGCTTGGTACAGCACTGCCCAGCTGTGTTTCTTACCAGCGAACAAGTAGATCTTAATGAGCTGTGTAATACAGCTGTACGATACCTCAGTGTTTGTCACACTGGACCAAACACTGGAGTGTCGAACGATGATGTTGGCTCAAATTCTCCTAACGGCGATTCCAATGGATCATCTGCCACAACCAGCGCCTCCGCAGCAGCTGCTCGCTTCTTCATCGATCTCTTGTTGTTCACTGGTGAAGCCTCCGAGGTGGCCCCAATGCAAGTAGCTCAAACTTTGTCTTCTGGTGGTCAACTTGCTGCACCATCTTGCCCTTCTGCCATGGGCGCTCAGCGGGTTCTTGTCTGGCTGACCCACGTCGTCCCAATACCCGGGTCTGATATAGCTGAATGCGGTGGTCAACGTCTTGTCTCTGGATGTCTCCAAGCATGTTGCTTGGGACTTTCGGAAGAACGCATTCCTGAGCTTGCTGACATCCTGTACCAATTGAAAGCAATGACGAAGAACGAGGCAAGTCCCAGTTCCATCACCAACAACCTTACTAGCATCCTTTTGCAATTATCTCTCGCTTTGTGTAATTCTGGTTGTTCAATCTGTCTGTGCGTGCGTGTGTGTGTGTGCTGTTCCTCTTCATCTAGCTACATCTGTATCTGACTTAGGTCACTTTTAACCACTGATTTATGTTTCACAGTACTTGCTGTTAATTGTGCCTTATTCTTTTGCTAATACTAATAAACATTGTCCAACCGGTAACATAAGCAGCCCCAAGTAAAATGAAAGCGTATCCTGAATATTCTCCTTCCATAGTATCCTGTTCATTGAAATCGACCAAATACGATGCCCTTCTGTCATTTTGTACGCGAGTTCCAAATGTTACTTTAGGATTCGAAGCCTATTGGTATGTCCCCTCGAATACGGTACGTTGAACTCGCTGTAATTGTTTACCACTTTACTTATCTGAATGAACACGCTATTCGAGCAGCGCTCGCGCATAACTGGTCTCACCACTCCTTTGGGGCTTTACAACTCCCCGCTCTTTTCACACCTTCCGAAAACTGGCATTCTCTTGTGCCTCTCATCAATGGCCACCTTCTCACAGCGTTACTATTGTTATTTGCTAACATTGTCTGAGCTTCAAATGTGGATACTTGTAATCAGCTACTGCCCTCCAGTTGCTGAGTCAATGTCTGATCCCACAATGGTGTATTGGGGCTCTTAACCCAGCTGCAAATGATTGCAGTTATTTGCATCTTCGTATCCACAACCGCAGTCTAAGTATCTCAAGATTTCTCAAAACGAACAGTATGATGGTATGCTTCTAACGATCTATTGTGTCATGAGCTTGCTTGTTTGAAATGCCAATAAAAGTTGTTGAAATATTTCTTTGGTTGTCCTATCCTGTGGTTCTGTTTACTTCTTGCGGTCTTTGATACCATTCTGCAATTCGGCTATGCCTCATGGAAGAGCGACGGAACTCTTCTAAAAAACTGAATGAGTTTCATTAGTTTACTACATGGTTTGAATGGATCGAAGCTGGGTTAGGATTCGTTCACGACTATTAGCACTGCAATCGTTGTGATAAATCCCTTAGGAGGAAAAAGCACTCAACGCATGGGAGTTGACGTCACTTTCGTGCGGTCTTGCTACTGTTGATGAAAATATGTAGATTACCTTAGGCCAACTGGTGCTTGTAAAATACCTTAAGAACCTTGTTGCCCGGACCCAGCTTCTGTCTTCTTTATGGTCGTTCTGTGCTCAAGCTGATACCCATCTATTACCGATGGATCTTATCTAACCGTCATTTAAAATCATTGTCAGCACTTTGTAGTATCTCTGGTATTACATGTCCAGATTCTGTCCACATTTTCCTCAGAAGCATACTGTGGAAAACGTGGGAGGTAACATGCATTTGAGGCCAGTTAGAACACACAGTCAGCGTCGTGCAATGAAGACGCATCAGTCCGCTTTATGAGTGCGCTTCCATTAGTGTGGTTTCATTGGTTAAAAAGCACATTGGCATCTCCGTTTTTTTCCTGCTTTTTCGCCACAGTGGATACTTGAACAGGCAGCAGGGATCATCCTCACGTACAATCAAGCTCGGTTGTTTATTCATGATCAGCACATCAAATCGTGATGAATGCAGACACTTTGATTCCACTATTACAGCCGATTTGAAAGGCGTTTTTACAAGCGAATCAGTGTTAAATTAATAGAAATTGGTACAAGGGGATTACACTAGTCATAGGTTGGGTTAACTAAACCTACAAAGCAAGCAACGAAATTCAGCAGCGTTATTAATTTATTTAACACACTGCGTTTTTTAGAGCTTTCTTGGCACGATGTCATCGCTCTTGACGCCGGTGTTCAACTTATCCCTTATATTTTCTCGAAATTACAGCTTTTCCTTCAGTGGTTGACGACTGCTGTTGGCAGTTTACCCATTCTCCGCGCTGATGGACTGGTACACGCTACTGGAGATCAGATCGCGGATTTTAAAGATCTCGTGATGAAGTAAGCGGTTTACCGCGCCACTGCAAATTTTTTGACTATGGCTTTTTAATGTACCCACTATACTTCTTATCTACTGGGAGCGAGATAGACTTCAGGGTCGCGCTGGAGCATAGATCAAGCCAGTAATTTTCAACTTCACTTTCTGTCCCTTCGTGTCATGATACTACTGTACTGTGTTCTTCAGGCGTCGAGTTGTCCAAGGGCCTGCAGTTCATCATCATCACGGCTTCTTCAAGATTTACGTCGAATAACGCTGTCATCTGGCTTATTCGACTGTTGCAATCTCACTGACGCGACAGAGCGTCGAGCCGTTTGCGAATCAAGTGGGATTGGGTACATTTCTTATTGCTAGATTGACTAGCCTTGCTCAGTCCGAACAATGCCTCTCCGACATTTAAAAATTATGAGTTTCTGTGTTTTTCTCTGTAAAAGAAACATCATAATTTTGCATGTCAACCACACGAGACCCGTGTTGCTGTGCGAGTACTTCATCAGCATTACGCTGCTTTGCTGCAACGTGGCCGCTACCAGTCGCGCGTGAGCTGAGTGTGTTGCGCGGTGGTCTCCGCCTTGACAGATTCGGATCGATAGCCTTTAGGTTACAAGCCGGACGTTTTGACGCTGCGCGCACCCGCCGAACAATGCTTTTGCGAATGCGGTGTCTATACTAGTGCGTCTAGAAGTTCTCACTGATAGTCTCAGTGATATTTTTGTAATTATAGAAGTCCCCTGCATTGTACACACCATCGATGAAAAACGATATTCCATCAGTTGCCAGTTGCAGCGATCAGGACGACAAAATATTATGAACGTGCTAGAATCGGTGGCTAACTGTCAGCGAACTGAAGGAAATGCCGTCTGGCAGTTCTCACTGATTCAGTGTTGTGAAGTTGCTCTGACGGCTGCAAGTGGCAACACATGGGGTACTCCGCGTTCTTCATCGGTTGTGTGCACAATACATTGGTTTTCCATTATTACCAGCATATTGTCATGCGACGGTGTTCTCTCAGCACTGAACTTTTGCATTCAGCGCGATAGCTTTAACTAATGTACTTTTAGGGCTTGGCTATCATCTGCATTGTTAATCTCCGATCAGACAATTTGTCGCATCCTAACCCCAAGGAGTGTTCCGTTTATCATCCCTGTGAATCTGATCATTGGGCTGGAAACTCGAGATGGGTTCTCTCGATGAGTACCGCCTTTTCTGTATGAACACTATGTGCTCTCTTACTAGTGCTCTTTCATTTTCCGTCCCTTATACCTTGCACATCTCTCCCTTACGAGTTCGCTTACAATGGTCTGCCTCCTACCGGTGTCCCCAAGTCGTTTTTCAAGGCCGAGTTTCATCATACTCCGGATCAAACTGACAGACCATGACTCCACACCCGGTTTGTGCTGAATGCGGTTGGCGGAAGTATGAAGGTATATACAGATTAGGTAAAGAAGGGTGCTACGTAGAACAGCAGTACTATCCCGCAAACTGGGTGGATGCAGAAGACTTTGACGTTGAAACATGCGACGCACCCTGTTGACGCAATTTGATGTTCGCGAGTTTAAAATTATTAAATATGTGAAGGCTTATATCAGCCGGAAGTTATGATATGGATCTGTAGCTTGTTAGGCAAATCTGCAGACAACCTAAATTGATCTCGTCCAAATTCAGCTCCATAGAAGCACTGGACGGACCTTTCGTCCTATTGTGGACTCATGTCGAAGGATTCGATGGAAATACACGTTACTGTCGTATTTCAATATGACAAACTACCTGTGCAATTCTTCTGTGGGTGTGCACGACCCTACCTAAAACTTCTGATCCCCAAAACCCGGAATATTTTCAGACCTTGCGTCACTCAACCAACAGTTTTTGTTTTTGCCCTTTGTTCTCTTTACCTAACGCTATGGTGTCATCGGGACATGCACATGCAACATCTTCAACTACCTGGCTTGTGTAGCTATGCCCGTCATGGCTACGCGATCTTTGGGTCGACCGTCCGATGGCAGTTGACTCGTTGCCAAACACTTGGACTAAACTGGTTGGGTGTAACCCCCAGTAGGCCTGTTGTGACGCTATTGGTGAACCCGTCCCATCGAAACTAAAAAACGTCTTCCGGAAGTGTTGTCTTTCTTTCTCTTTGCTGGAGAACTTCCGAGTCTTTTTGTTTGTGTAGCAACTATTTACCACTACGTAGCACCGAAGCCCTTTGAACTGGCGACTATCAGCTGTCATTCCCTATCTCTAACGTTACATAGATCGTCGACAAGAATCATCTAGACATTTGCTGTAATCTAACTACAGTTGATCTACCCGTCAGTTCTCACCGGATTGCTGTTGCTCGTTAGGTTCGAATTTGTGAACAAACTCACGCCAATGGAGATGATTCAATGTTGCTCCTTCCAACACTGACACTCCATGACCGGTTTCTTCCTAGTTTGGACTCATCAGCTGGAGATATCCTGAGCTGGGGTGGAACTCGGAGCCTAGTTGTTAGTGGCTGACACCTTTGGATACGATCCTTGTGATCGGAATGATTGAGGTCCACTTCAAAGTGGACCGAGATCTTCATAGAGATTGCGTGTCTCAATCCAACCACACGCCGGGTACTCCAAATCCAAACTTGAATGCTCTCACCAATTATTCACACACGGGACAGATGCCTCCGCATAATCTTCGCACCCTCAAAATACAATACTGTCGCAGAATTAGACCAATTTGCCACCGCTTTTCTCATCGAACGTCCCCTCGTAGTGACTAGTTGGTTCGATCTGAATATTGGATGCTGTATTGTGAGACCAAGTCATCTTCATCATTACACATTAGCTGGGGGTGAAAACACACTTCAACAATTGTGCCGCAATACATAAAGATTAGATTTACGAAGAAGCGAGACACTGAACATTATAGAATAAAAACAGACAACACACTAGTTAGAGGACCATTTTGAAGTGCACGTTGTGTGATCGGATTGCGACGCGCAATCTCTATGTAAACTACGATGCACATTTGCCAATGCGAGCATTGGGACCATAGCCGAAGTAGATGGAATTTGAGTGTTACCCGCCCGGAAACGCTGCTTAGTAGCATATTATGCGTCAAGAGAGAAATCTTCGTTGGAGTGGGAAGATAAGCGGGATGTGGAGGAACGAAGAAAGTCGTCATAAACGATCTTGAGGTCGCCTCTTCGCCATGTCAACTAATGTATCCAACCAGACGTGTTCATCATCCTTCGGACCCCAGCCCGGTAGTCGGGATGCACCAACCGACGCCAAGTTCGAAGTGATAGGCTTCATTCCTCTTGACCAAGTCATCGCATGGCTTCCCTTGATCTTCTTCCACCCACGTCCCCGGCGCGCAAACTACACACGATGCGGGAGTCGCTGGGCTAGCCATCGTTGTCTGGTGTGTAATATAATGGTGCTGAGCGGATCACTCGCTCCTCCTGAACCAAATACGCGACGCCGAAACACATTCCTTGCTCATGCGGTACTCCCACTAGACGAAGTAACCTGCGAAGGCAGCGGTAATCGAACGTATTTAGCCTCTTTATGTTTCTCTACCTCATGGGCCAGATTTCACAAGCGTATAAGAATGTTGAACGGACAGCTGCATTGTTAACTGCCCTTCAGAGTGAGAGTCATCTCGCGCAGCCGACCCAGGTTATGGAGGTTGGCAAACCGCTCGAATTTTCTTGCGATCTTGCGATCAATAACGCAATTCGAACGAACACGCATGGAAAAACTGAACACTCACAACGAAATCGGGGCAACACAACATGTCATCGCACCGACGCGCGTAACTCCGCACTCGGCATCTTGTCTGGACCAAATGTTTATGGGCTGCCAGCAGAAGCTGAAAGAGATCAGAATTCGCGAACCTCTGACGAACAGTGACCACTGCTCCATTGTGGCAAGCATATAACTGCCGTTACCGTATTGCAAGTAACCAAAGCCGACATTCAACTATGGGAAGACGGACTTCAACGGGCTCGTCCAAGCCGCATGTCCGACTGATTGAACACTATCACAGGATGCGTCACTTAAGGCCTGTTAGTTATTAATGAAGGGAAGCTTAACTCGCTGCGTACTCGGTTCGTTCCCCTTAAGTATTCAAAAGTCGGACCTGTCATACTGCATTGGCTTGATACGGAATATAGACAGTTAGCGCGACGGCGTCGCAAACTTTGGAATAGATACATCAGCTCGGGTTGTGATGAAGTTTGCACGGTGTACAAGAAACAGTGTAACTTATGTAGCACCGCAAAGATCAAGAAACGCTGGCACTTCGAAGACGAGCTAGCATCCTTGGTCACAACTACACCCAAAAGACCATTTGCCTACTTGAAACGTCAACTGGAACCTGCGAGGGACCTACCAGTCTTAGAGAGCTTGGACGGACAGACGCTCATTTCAAGCGCGGAGCGCGCGGCGCCTTGACTACGCACTTCCTCACCCTATTTTCCAGTAAACCGACGGCTTTTCCAGTACCTGCACAGGTTGAGCCAGTCTTGTTCGACAGCCTACAATGTGATGCAGTCGAAGTGTATCAGCTACTCGTCAACCTCGATGGTACAAAGCCCCCCCGGACCAGACGGACTTCACCCACTAATATTCAAGTCCCCATCGAATGTCATCTCACCAGCCTTGACAAACCTATTCAATAAATCACTATCTGAAGAATCTGTCCCCAACGACTGGAAATGCTCGATAGTGAGACCACTTTCCAAGGGTGGTGATCCTAGTAAAGTAGAGAACTATAGACCGATCTGTTTGACTTCGATATTGTCCAAAGTTCTCGAGAAGGTTGTGAAAAAGTGTCCGCTGTCGTTCTTCGAATCGATGGACATGTTGACGCCAGCTCAACACGGCTTTGCGAAAGGGTGATCCTGCATCACCAACTTCATGTACGCAAACCACGAACAGTAGGATTCTTTGTATTAGGGGGATTTATTAAGTTTTTGTGTAGGTTTGTCGCAGTTAGACACAGGCAGACAACCACCACACAT